CAGACTCCATCCTACTTTCTCTCTTGCCTGCCTGGCAAACCCTCTGTGCACCTCTCTGGTCACATCGTACTGCTGCCATCCACCACCAGTTATGGATGCAGGAGCACCACAGTGAGCAGGGGTAAAAGGACATTTCACCCTGGCCCTGTGCACTCACTGGTGTACTGGACCCTTCACAGCTGACCAGTGATGAGTTGGTCCATCTGAGCTGCAGACATTTTCTCTTTTACAAAGTGTGAATGAGGCAGTGCGGTAATTTTATGCAAATCCATGTGCAGATTAAAAAATTAATCAAATTCTGAAATTTTCATTTAAAGAGATTAGTCTTGAAAAATCCCCCATCTAATCCTCCCAGAATAGTCACTTGGAACAAACCTTCACCGCTTTGTTTTCCTCCTGGGTTCAGTGCATCTCCTGGAAAATTTTCTCATAATGCTTTTGGGACCATCTGGAGCAGCAAGTTTGAGTTTGAGCGGGGCTCACCATGAGAATTAAAGTTGATAATCAAATGATGGAAAAGATGTGTCAGTAAGTGGTAACATGGGAGTTCAAGGCAGTAAAATCTCTGCTCTGCTGTACTTCATAGGTAAACTCCCGTGGTAATGTATGAAAAATGGAAGTGGTGAGCCTCGGTGAGCCTAACGGTAATTTACCTACCAAGGGGCCAGAAGAAAGACATGTAGCAAGAAAAACGAGTAGCAAGAGACACTGCTAAAACTTGCTGTGTCTGGTAGTTTACCCTGTAACAAAGATATAATCTGTCTTTTAGAGCTGGAGCTCAAAATTATCCTTGAACAACTGAGGTTTGATCCAGTCCCACCTCAAATATTTTTCGAGCCTCTCAGGGATTTTGGAGTTGACCCGGTACACAGTGGGCCAGCCACCAGTCACTGCCATAACGGGGGAAATCCAGAGACATCCCAATGACATTAAAAATAAATTGCCGTAGACCCTGATGATCGTAGTTAATTTAGACACCACAGAAAATTAATATACAGCATCCTCTGATCTTGCAGCACCTGAAATGCCTGGGATGTGTGATTGGGTTAGCCTACAACAAGCCCAATTGCCCCAACTTCAAGAAAACCACAAGCCCGCGATGCAAAGCCTTGAACAAACCTCCAACCACAGCACCTGGAATAGCTCAGCTCTGCCCAGCGATGGCAGGCTGGCTCTTAGAAGGGAATATTTTTCTGGCTTTCAAGTACCTGCCATGGAGTGAGATGCTGGCTCGTTTTTCTCACTGCATGTCCACAGCCAGTTCGTTTGTTCACTCTTCCCCCCCCCTCCACTGTGACTCTAAGTTTATGGCTCAGACTATGCCCCCCTATGTCCGTGCTTCTGGTCTCATGCCATCATCCAATTTTCCTGGCAGCTTACCACATTTCTGCCTCTAGTGCTGGATTGTTTCCCTCTGACTGGATGCTTGCCTGCAGAATTGCTTTAATTAAAAAGTTAATGAAAGGTAATGCAAACGAGCACTTTACCTGTATTTTATCACAGTCCAGCTCCTTTCTCTCCCTCTTTCCCAGAGATGGTGAAAATGAGGAGCTGGGGTTTTGCTGCTTTTTATTGTGAGAGCTAACAGTGGAAATTTCTGCAGGCTTAGGAGGAGCCCTGTGAAGAAAGAGCTTATAATGGTAAAGCACGCAAACACGTATGTAGATGGTGAACATCACTCATCAATGAAAGCTGAGGAAGTTCTCATTTAAAGGGGATTAATCTAAATCCCTTATGGTCCTCCTGCTCTTTTTGTAATAGGCAATTCTTACCATCATTTTCCTCCTAAGCTTAGTGTGAACTTCTAGAAAACTTCCCAGAAGACTGACTATACCCCAACTCCAAATTATCCCAAGCAGAGACAAAGGGAAGGTGTAAAACATGAGCCCCACTAGCGCCTATAGCATGCCACCTTATATCCACATAGAAGAGGGCTCGTTCATCCCTATGTGATTTCCCTGAGAAAGTGGGGAACAAAGATCAGTGTGTGAAGCAATATGAGCCACATCATCAGCCCCTTCTCCCAGCCCAGATTCCTCCCAGGCAGCAGTGGGAAAAGGAGAACGCAGGGATGTGAGGATGCAATTTCCCCACCAGCTAACTGGAAATTACATAATTTCTAGACCCACCGTCCGTGGAGGTAGTCTGAGAGCTGCCATGTGGATTATTTTTCTTTCCAAGGCTGCTTATGCCGTGGTGTGAGGTGATGGTCAATTCTCTTGATCTTGTTTTTAAAGCCCTAGTAAAATGAGTAGGAGTTTTATTTTTTATTAATAGATACAGTGGATTTCATAGCACTGATTTATAGCTGTTCCCTGATGACATTTAGTACCCAGTGCCTGAGACTGTATAAATAAATTACGTAAAAATGGATTTGTGGCATCATTAGCAGCACCCCCATGCCAAGGGGAGCCTCCAGTGAGCCTGCATGTCTAATCAGAGCTGGCAAGGAGCAGAGCTACACACCAAGACCTCCAAAGCTAATGGGTCTATGCCAAATTCAGCTCAATTCAGTGTTGGTGTAAAATTGGATAACCTCTGACTGCTAGGGGGTTTACACCAGATTTACTCTGCATTTACATCTGTGCACAGAGATCAGCGTCAGGGCTTCTGTGCAGGCGCCATGCCCTAAAATCCTTAGGAGCAGTGGAAGGACGCATGCTGACTTCACCAGACTCTGCATCAGGCCTCAGTGGTTAAAATATAATCTGAGTTCAGAGTGCAGAAAACAGATTACATGCCTGCTATTGTAGTGAAATGCTTTCCAGAGCAAGCATTAGCAGTATGTACACAAGTGCCAGATGAATTAAGCTGGCATTTATTTTTTTCAGCTCCAGTAGGAGAGGATTGCTTTAGAACAACTCACACCTGCTGGGTCGTGTCTGGAGTTGGAGCTGAACAGAGCTGCCAGGAGGGCACGTGTGACGGGAGCCGCAGTCACAGGTCTGGTTGTGCTCAATTCCTCTGGTCTTCAGGGTCAGCTGTACACAGAAACATCAGCGCAGAGACAGAGCCTGTTAAAAGCTTTGGGGCTTTATTTGCTTAAACTCCCCTGGCTCAATTTAAGCCTTTTTCTCCAACCACTCTGCAAACCCTGTATCGCAGCTCAGACGAGGTGACCTGGGGCGTGATGCACCTCTGTGTTGTAACACCTTCCTCTGATTGCGCTGTGCTGCCAGGTGATTCAGAGACCTGGGAACAGAGATGCTTATCTCAGGTCCTGGGAGCTGCCTTCACTGGTGTTAGCACCGTTACTCTGACCCTCATTGTAAGGGGGCTGAGGGTCACTGGTTTAAACTGCCAGCAGCATCAGCTGCCATGAAGTTTGAGTCTAGCAACCAAGTGGTCCGGACACACTGTCTTTTATTCTTCTCTCTCCTCGTGACTGAAAGCCCAGTCCTTCTGACCAGTATCTAAAGGAAGTGTAGATAGGTAGTTCATCTGCCTTGGGTTTTGCCTTTAAAATCTCTTTCTCCTAAGAATTTGAATAATTTATGGTTAGACTCCATTATTTTAAGGGTCTTCTCCAACTTAAATGATTCTTGGATTTTTTTCTCTGGCAAGCCTATGATTCTCCATATCATTTTACCTGCACATCCCTTGTCCAATAGGTTCCACAGTGTGCCCAAGTTTCTTTGCTTGAGAAGGTGCTTGTGTAGAGGTTTTCACAGAGCCTTTGGGTCCTTGCAGCAAAGTAAGGCAGATTTAGACCCAGAGGAGCTGTTGGAAAGCTTGTCTGGGTTAACGATTAACACCTTGCAGTGCTATCGGAGTGTCAGGACAAAGAGACCTCTGGACTCCTGAGCTCTCCCAGAAGAAGCCAGACACTGGCCTTGCACTGAAACACATTCATTTGCTAGAGAGAGGATTAACTCTCAGGTAATTTCAGTGGGTCTGTGATCGCGTATGTTGCTCGGGCTGCTTCAGCCTCCTGGCACCCTGCCTTAATTGCCTGCCCCATAATTGCCATGAGCAGGAGAGATGCAGATCACAAGGATCTTTGATCCTGAGAAACTAGCAGCGAACTTGCTGCCATTTAACGGAAGGAAGGAGAAATGCTGGGAGGGAATAGGTGCGTGTGTGCTGGTAGAGGCTGCCTTTCCTCTGTGAAGACAAATGTCTGCCCTTGAGCAGTTGAAAGCTTTTGGTCCACAAGCAGATCTGTTGCATATAATGCTAACAGTCAGTGGAGACTACCTCAAATGGGCTTTCACAGACACGGCTGGCAACTTTTCCTGGATCTGAAGTCTTATTTGGGCTCTAAATATGATTTTAATGGATAATGAGAGGGCTAAAAATAAAGGCGAATGAAGCCTTGTGTTAATCGGCTGTTTAGTGCGGAAACCTCATTACTGGTCTCCCTAGGGCCACTAGCAGCAGCAAGGGATCAGGCAGCCAGCAAGCCTGGTGTTTCTCCTAAGCCCATGCCTGATGCTGCAGGGACACATGCAGCAATGCACAGCCGGGGAATGAGATCAGCATTTGGCTAGCATGAGGAAGGGAGTTAATGCGGTGAAAAGCTGTTCCACCCAGACACCCCACTCTCTCCAGGACAGAGGGCAGTTTAGAAAGGCATCAAACACTGAGTAAACAGAAACAAGGGCTTGCCCGTGGCAAATCTACAGGGATGGAGAAACTGGCCAGCGGGGGCCCACCGTCCCTGTGGGATGTGACAGGATTGCAGGGGTGCCACAAGCTGACAGGTAGTTTGAATGTGACACTTTCCTTCCCTCCCTCCTGCCTGGGGAGAGGTTCAAAAATGCTGCTGATATGGCACCTTCATCTACAGGAAACAGGAGCTAGAGCTCCATGGTTCATGCTTTGCCCTCCCTGCTCTCTCAGTGACAGTCCTGTCTCTTCTGATAGCAAAAATGTTCGCTTTCCCTTGCAGGTTGGAGAGTGCCGGCTGCCCAAGCTCTCGAGGCCTTGCTAGTGTCAGGAAAGTGTGTACAAGCCCACCCCACCGAGCAGACTGACTCAGCCCAGCCACCCTGGGCAGCATGTCCCTCCGCGAGCATGCGCTCTCACTCTTCCGCAGCGCGGTGGGCACTGTCCGGCCAGCTCCGATGCTGAAGAGGGTTGTGAAGCTGCAGGGAGGCAGGTGCCCTCAGCTGCTGGTGAAGGGCCAGGCCTTTCCAGTGAGGAGGGACCTGTACCTGGTGGGTTTTGGCAAAGCTGTGCTGGGGATGGCCGTGGCAGCAGAAGAGATCCTGGGAGACCACCTCATCCGGGGGATCATCAATGTGCCACTAGGCATCCAGGAGAGCCTGCAGAAAAAAAAAGGAGGGGGGGTTGGGACTGGACGGTTTGGGGGGGTAGGCTGCCAGATTTGTCCTCTGTGGGATGTTGCTGTGAACCCCTTCAGTCCTTTCCAGCTGCCTTTGCTCTGATGCCCGCCCCATCCACCACACCTCCCAGTGGCACCAGTGACACAGCCCAGTGCTGCCTCCCCAGCCCCAGGGAAGAGACACTCAGAAAAGGTCACTTCCCTGTCCTGGTCACTTGCTGTGCACCTCTGGTGCACCAGGCCCGTTTCCCTGCTGAGTGACAGCCTGGCTGCCTGTGTAGGTGCTCGTGTCAGTGGTGTGACTGTCTCTTAACTCACCAGGGAGATGCTGCTGAAGCCACACAGCAAAATCCAGGTCATCGAAGGTGCTAAGAACAATCTCCCGGATCCAGAGGCTCTGAAGGGAGCAGCTGCCATCCAGGAGCTGGCTGAGGGTTTGACTGCAGATGACCTGCTCCTCGTGCTCATCTCAGGTAGTGTGGGGATCCCAGGGAACGGGCTCTGTTTAGGGTCCTCAGCAGAATGCTGTGCCATGGCGGCCCCTTCAGCACTGGCACTTGCACTTCTATGATTTTCCCTCTCCCTTCTCCCACCAGCCTCTCCAGGGATGCAGCAGGGGAGGGCATAGGGTTGCCTGCTGCTGCAGTGGACACACTGCCTCCCAGCACTGGGGGGAGGCTGAAGAGTGCAGGCTGGGTCCTGCAGTTGTGCCACCTCTGTGAGATGGCACTGCTGGGCACAACCTGCCAGCTGCTCTTGCCCCTTTGCAAGAAGATGCTTTCTTCCTGCCCCCTGCTTATATTTGGGGATGCAGACTTGGAGAGGCAAGCACTTACTGGGCTTGCATGCTCTGAATTTATGCAGGGGTGTGAATCTATAAGGTGAGGTTTGGAACTGATCTCTTCCAAGGCTTTGCTGCTTCCTGGCCAGTGGAAATGAGGCGCCCAGGTTCCGATGCAGTGAGCTGCATGCCTTGCAGGGTCAGCCCTGAACACAGCTGGGTGAACACCCCCAGGCCCTGGCTGCTGGGTCCCTGAGCTGTCACCAGACCTGGGGCTGTGTAAGTAAGGAAGGTGGATGTTGTGCAGCAGAGGGATGCAGTGATGTCACCCCAGCCTGAGCTTGGCTGGGTGAGTGGGTGTTGCAGGGCAAAAGCATGCAAGGGCTTGAAGCAGCTCTGTAGAAACCCCTTGGTCCTCCGTGGTTGTTCCTCTGTGGATGCTGGAGCCTGATCAGGTGCAGAGACAGTAGAGCTATTAGGCAAACACCCAAGCAACTGGAATCAAGCTGCATTCGCTGAGGATTCCCCTGGGCTTCCTCCTGCCCTTTGAGACTCCTCAGCCATTCAGGGAGCCTGCACAGGATCTCCCTGTGGCTGTGACTCCCTTGCATGCGCACTCCCACGCAGCAGCCATCCCCAACTGCTCCTGCCTCTCAGCTAGATCCCTGGCTATTGACTGAAAGACAGGCATTTGCATTTGTTTTTCTTGCTCATCATGTTTTATTGATGCTGATTTGTCTCAAACCTCTGAGCAGCAGGCTTTGCCTTTTGGCAGTAGCTTTCAGCTGTACTTCTGTGCACATTCACTCTCTGCTCAGATCTTACTCCTTTCTACTCTGTATTTTCCATCCATTCCACTTTTCCATTATAACCTTTCTTCTTGCCTTCTTTTCCACATTTCCAAGGCCTGCTTGTATCAGTCAGGATTCCCATCGATGAGGCTATCGCCTGGGACTCTGGGTGCTTTGTCCTGTGTGTTACTCTTGGCCCCTTTGGAGCCAGTGAAGTGAGCAGTGTCTCCCTCTGCTTAGCACTGACTGCTGTGCAAGCTGTGGAGCCCGTGCTCCCTGCTCACCCATCCAGGTGGCCCTTGAAAAATCAGTGTGACAACACACTAGCAGCCTGATGCGGGGATAGTAATTGCTGGCCTTTCTCTGTCATCCCCGCAACACTGCGGGCATGTGGTACCCTGGTGCGGTGAGGTTTACGCTGCCTGGATGAAGTCTAGCCAACTGCAGACAGGGCAGGGCAGCAGTGATTAAAACCCATTGGTGAAGAAGGCTGAATTCTCCAGAGATGTTAGCATAGTTCCCCAACCACCTCCGCCTTCCTGCTGCATACTGGTGAGGGAAGAGGAAAGACTCAAGCATTGAATAGCCTTTCTTTCCTCCTGTCCTCCTTTTCTTGCTGTCCTGATGTCCTTGCCCTCTCTTCTGCATCCTAGGGGGTGGATCAGCCCTACTGCCTGCTCCCATCCCTCCCATCCTCCTGGAAGAGAAGGAGAAACTGACAAAGACACTGGCTTCCCGAGGAGCTGCCATACAGGAGCTGAACATTGTCCGGAAGACTCTGTCCTTGCTGAAGGGTGGGGGGCTGGCCCAGCTTGCATATCCTGCACAGGTAACTGGCATGAAGCTCCTGCTTGCCCAGAGATCACCCATCTGCCCTCAAAGTAGGGGTTTAATCAACTGACCTAAGTGTGCCCGCAGGGTTTTTCTCCTCACGGAGTGAACAGCCTTTGCACACTGTTTTAGGACTCTGGCTCAGATTTCACTGAGGACCCAAACTATCAGGGACACAGAGGCAGAGGGGCGGGAATTCTGACTCAGCAAATGCCAGCCATCCCATCACACCACTTCCAGCAGACCCCAGCCCTCACCCGGCCGGTGCTTCCAAGGGGCCAGTGCTCCACCACAGTGCTTTCAAGGCTGGGTCCAACTCTTGGCTCCCCTGGGGGCTGTTCTCAGCATGTGCCATCGCTGGCACGCAGGCTGAACCCACAGCACATTACCAGCCTGACAAGTGCAGTGACGCAGGTTACATCTTCCAGTGTGATGGTCCAGTATCAAAGGACATTGTAGATCTGTGGATTTGAAAACAGCAAGGTGACTCTCACAGGACCTTAAAACAAAAATGGGCCCAGACCTACCCGTTTCCATCTGCTTTGACATGGGGGTGGCACAAGTGTAACCCAGAGCAGCTCTTGCGTGGTCACCTGTATCTGCCTCCCGCAATAATCCGTGGGCATTTCTCTTGGTAGGTGGTGAGCCTCATCCTTTCTGATGTGATCGGTGACCCCCTGGACATCATAGCAAGCGGGCCCACAGCTGCCAGCTCCCACAGCATCCAGGACTGCCTTCAGATACTCGCCAAATACAGCCTGCTGCACAGCCTGCCCAAGTCAGTGGAAACAGTCCTGTCCAGCTCTCCCATCAAGCCCACTGCTCCAGAAAACTACTCCCATGTTTGCAACATCATCATCGGATCAAACACATTGGCTTTAGAGGAGGCCACACGCCAAGCCGAGGGCCTGGGCTACACGGCTCTGATTCTGAGTGCAGCAATCTGCGGGAAAGTCAGCCGCATCGCCACGCTGTACTGCCAGCTCATCCGGCTGGCCTGCCTGGGCTTTGCCGGCCTCGGAGAAGGGCCCCTGGGTGACGAGGTGCGAGGAAATCTCCTGCAGCTGGCAGCAGAGCTAGAGATCCCGGGTTTGAACCTTGCTGAGTTTCTGCAGGCCCTGCGAGGATTAGAGCCTGAAAGACCAGTTTGCATCCTGGCCGGCGGAGAGACCGTGGTTCAGCTTCAAGGAAGCGGCAAGGGAGGGAGGAACCAGGAGCTGGCCCTGCGCGTGGGGCTGGGGCTGCACAGGGCACGGGCCATAGAAGTTGGTGGCCTCGCAGGGAGGTGTGAGATTGTCTTCCTGAGTGGGGGAACAGACGGGCAGGATGGGCCGACAGAAGCAGCAGGAGCCTTCTGCAGCCCGGAGCTGGTGGATGAGGCGCTGCAGGAGGGACTCGATGCAGAGGCCTTTCTCAGCAACAATGACTCCTATACGTTCTTCAGCCAGTTCCAAGGTGGGCGTCACCTCCTGGTGACAGGCTTGACGGGCACCAATGTCATGGACATCCAGGTCATTTTAATTAGAGGCGCGGAGAGATCATGAGAGCTCCCTCTGCAGATATCCAGATGCATTTAGTTAGGACCAGGGCTAAATGAAGGCATCAACACTGCAGACAGATGTAAACTACTTAAATTAGAGCTTGCTGTCCAGGCTGCTAACATCTTTGACAGAAAACATCCACTAATTAGACACATCAGTGGATGTCCACAGCAAAAGCAAGCACGTGTGTAATTGGGATCAGAGCAAGGTAAGAGGTGACATTATGGACATAGAGGCCACATTTAACACCTCTGCTAATAGCCACCAGTTCTGTGACTGCTTAAACTATAGCTAAAAGATGTGGGGAAGGCAAGGCCATGGTTGCCAGGGAGAGCCCTCATCGCGGCTGCTGCACATCCAGTGCCCCCAGCTCAAGAGCAGCCCATCACGGGGCTTTCGCAGCTTCACAGAAGTGCGTTACAGTGACTGAAGGGTGCAAGAGCAATAGCAAGGCCTGCCCAGCTGGAGGCACAGGGGTGCTGGGGGGACGCGGTGGGAAGGGGACACCCACCACCAGCTCCACACGCCAGCACAGTGTCCTGCAGCTCCTCCCACACCAAGGTGCCTGAGGCGACACAGAGACTGCGAGCCCAGCACAAAGAGCCCAGCAGGACGCACACCCAGCAGTGGGACTAAGGAGCACATTGGCCAAGAGCAGAATTCTGTCTGGGATATGTGACACAAAAGCAGTGCACAGTGACACTGAGGGTGGTATACCTTCCCATGCAGCAAGGGGATGATGAGGTGCAGTGGCAAGCCACCCAAGTGGTGTCCTTCTCCTCCAGCCTCCTTCCCTCTGCAGGGACATCTTCCCTGCTGGTCCCTGTCGGGAAAGCCTCCGCACCAGCAGCGTGCATGCTACAAGCTTTCACTGTGTTGTTTTCCAACTGCCTAGAAAACAGTCGTGCATCCAGCCGGAGCCACTGACCTTTCTTCTGCGCTGAGGCAGAAGTCGCTGTCACTCTGATTAACTCTGCTAATTCCACAGAAGAAAAGGCAAGGAAACCTTCACACTCAGCTCTCCTGACCCATGCTGCTGAGCTGATCAAAGGGCAAAGCTGCTGGAGCTGTGCTTTGACAGGGACCGGATCCCCTGCTTGTATAAGGACATGGTGGTTATCACGGTTTTGTCACCTACTGCAGTGCAATATGTGGGGCAGCAGAGATGAGCGGAGTTTCCCAGGACGTGGAGCCTATGGTGGAGCTGGATTTCAGAAGGGCTCTGCCTGTAGCAACAGGCACGGTGATGGTTTTAGCTGGATCTTCAAAGGACTTCAGCTCAGCAGCCAGTATGACCCAACACGTCCAACTCGTTTTGAATATCTGCCTGTTTGCTACAGAGCCTAAGCGGGAGCTGAGCTCTTTTCAAAATCCAGCTCTAATTTAATAGGACACGCTTGACTCAGACTCTTTCCAGACAGACAGACCTACTCCGTGTGGCTGATCTCATCTCGTGACATAAATACACCATCCTGCCAACACCACGAGTCACGGTGTCTCACTGAGCAGTCGTTCTGCACCCTGCTCCAAGATAGATCAGAGGGTGGATTTTTGAGGAGGATGCAACACCTCCTGCTTTGGTTTTGAAGCCAATATTTAACAAGCAGGGATATCAGCAGGACCATCACGGGACCCAGTATCGATGCCAGACTGGCAGTTGGTCTGTCTGGGCCACAGCCCAGGCGTAGCATCAAGGCACAAGCCTGGGGATTTCAAAACCCCAGTCTTACCATGGTGGTTTAAACTCATCCATGCATCTCATTTGTCCTCCAAGCCTGAAGGTCTCCTGTAACATGCCTGAACTTGCTCACGCTGGCACATGGCTTTGAGATCTGCTGGGAGAAACCTGCCAAGTGGTATAAAGCTTGCTGTGCCCCTGTAGTGTCAGGTGGTGGTTGCACAGGAGAAGCTGCTTTGTGCCGTGTGTTTTTCTCTGGAGGTCGCCAGCACGTTCAGAGCATTTGGCTTTTGCTGCGTGCCCAGCATGCCAGCACCGCAGGGGCACTAACACAAGCAGCAATGCAGCCAAAAAGTATGGGCTGCAGCCAGGATAACTGGCTAAATCTGTCTCCAAAACGTTGTTAATGCCTCCTGTCCAGTTCTGCTCTAGCAAAATCCAGACTGACTCCATTTTCAGGCTGGGATCCCTGGCAGAAGGATCGCTGGCACCTTCAGCAGCAGGTCCAGCATGCCAGCCTGGGCACGCCATCACAGGCCCACCGTGCCCCTGCGCTCTGCCCCCAGCCCTGCCACACTGCCGAGTGCCGTGCTAGTCCTTGGACCTGCTGCTTGCACTGCCTCACCGTCAAGTTCAGAAGACCTTGGTCTAGCGCTCGCTGGTTTCTCCTGGGAAATGCCTTCCACACGCACAGTGAGCAGTGTCCTTGCTTTCTAAACAGTGGCTTTTCACTAATGATTAAAAAGAGTTTGTGGTGGGGAGGAGAGAAGGCTGATAAAAGGTTTGTTGAAAGAATGGAGCTGTTTGAAGTGCACTTCACATCTGCATTCGCTTGGCCTCCATATGCAGTTTTTGTTCTTGTCCTGTCTTTTCTAATAAGATAACAGGGCAGGGGGAGGTTGACCAAGGACAGCCAGGTTACAGAAACACTTTTCTTCTTCTGATGCTTCTGCCTGAATAGGCTGAAGTTCCATTTCTTATGGATTGCTTGAGTGGACCTCGTGCACCTTCTGCCTAGGGAGGAAAGGAGCTTTGGAGTGTGTGCACCCCTTACAGACAAGGCTTCATTTTATTCCTCTGGACGATGGTCAGCACAGAATTGGGCGTTACTGCTCCAGCCCAAAGCCAGCTCCCTCTGACCTACAGTCCCTTCGCTGACAGCAGAAGACCCCAGGCACGAGCCACACACATTTGGGACACACTGGTCAGGTTTTGCTAGGATTTGTGAGATAACAGTTGCATCTAAAGACACAACAGCATCGCTTACCTGCCAAGTACTGCTTTGCCTCTGGGCTGCTGGAACCTGCCAGGAGTGATGACTTTCCTGTCAGGAACTTGAGAGAGTTGCCACAGCTGAGCAGGGCTCTGGTTTGCCCACGCTGTCCTGGATGCGATGTTAGCATCACGTGAGCGTACCCAGGCAAATGAAGAAACCCAGGGTGGGACTGTGGTGACACCGAGTGATTCCAATGTGTGGGCCATACTGGGACCAGCTCCATGCCATACTGGCTCTGGGGCATTTGCACCTAAGGAGACAAGTCACAGAAAGAGTGAGGACAAGAGCTGCTTGGTTTTGGCACTCCCAGTCCCTGCCCTTTTCATCAGTAACACAAAACTCTTTCTATACCAGCCAGCCTCCAGGAAGGAGATGGCCAATAGCTCCCTGGCTACGTCCCCGTACATGGGCAGGGGACACAGGGACAGCCGTCAGGAGAAACACACCCAGCTGCTGGGCAGGGTGCAGGCAAGCAAAGCCTGGGCATGTTTGGGGTCAGCTTGCTCTCTTAAGCAGGCTGCTCGTAGCCAAACAGTGCTAATGGCTGGGAGAAGTAACTGCGTTATTAACAGCACGAGCTTTTGGCAGTAAATTAAAAATCTTGGCTGCCGCCCTTGGCTCTGCTCTTGCCTCTTAGGAGACATTAATATCACAGCTCCCCAGCATTCCCATTATCACTTCATTAAGGATCCAATAATGATAAATGTGGATGGTTTTATTTTGCACGGAGCCTGATTAATGGCTAATATTTCACTAGGTGTTAATGGGGCCCTTCCTTTATGGAGGGATCGGAAGGGGGCTGCCTTTCATCTCCTCCACAAACTGGGTAATTTTCACTATTTTTGCTAATGTGACAGATTTAACACAAACCTTGAAAGAGCGGCTGAGGCCTCTTGAGAGACTTTGAAGAG